ATATCATTGGAGGACTGTCTAGAAAGAGGATTCCGATTCCTTGCCTATTCAAAACCAGTACAAGACTCCCAGCGGCAATGGAAGAAAAAAGGAAACAACGGAGGAAAGCCAGCCAGCTAACCAGAAACAGAAAACAAGCAAGAGAGGAGGGAAGGGAGGGAGGGGGGAGAGAGAGAGAGAGAGAGAGACAGAGACAGAGACAGAGAGAGAGAGAGAGAGAGAGAGAGAGAGAGAGAGAGAGAGAGAGACAGAGACAGAGACAGAGACAGACAGAGACAGAGACAGAGACAGAGAGAGCAAGCAGCGGCGGGGAGCCCTGAGCAGGCCTCCTCGTCGCCGCAGGAGACGCCAGCGCCCCACGAAGTCCCTTCTGCTGCGGGCGAGCGCTCGGCCCACGGGAGGAGGCCGGTGGCCTCTGCGGTCACCGGCTCGCCCCACCGGCCCCTGGCCGCCTGGGCTCGCACCCGGACGCGCAGAGAGCCGGGCGGCTGTGTGAGCTCAGAGAGCTGCAGAGTGGGAACGCACCAGCCACAGACACAAAATGGAGAAAGAGGAACCGAGAGGGGCAGGAAGGAGGGGGCGCGGGAAGGGAGCTGAGGATGAGAACGATCCCCGGTGCCCCGGGTCGGGGGGTGCCAGAAGGAGCGCCCGGGAGGCGGAAGCGACAGCACCAGGGGAAGAGCGAGGAGGCCAAGGCAGCCCCGAGACTAGGCCGTTCCGGGTGTCGAGGCTCCATTTGCAGCAGCGCCATATTCGCGAGCCCTTCGCCGTGCTTAATTTGGATTTTTTTTTTTTCCCTCCCCCGGCGGCCGGGGACCCGCGCCAGCGGATTTCTGCAGCTCCGGCCAAGGGCTTGGCGGCAGGGCAGGACGCAGGGTCCAGCCGGGGGCTCTCGTGCCTGTCTCCACCTTGCAGGGTTGTGGCGTGCCGGGTGCAGGGCCCAGCTGGGAATCCTCGTGCCTGTCTCTGACCTTGCAGGGCTAAGGGGTGCAGAGCTTGGTTGGGGATCACCCCCCCCCCCCAGCTTGTCTCTGACTTGGCTGCAAGAGGGCCTGGGGAGCGGCACCCCTCCGGGCACACGTCCTTGACCTTTGCCCGGTGTGTGGTGGACTCTAGTGCAGGAAGGAGGGGTTAGTAGATGCATCGAGGACAGAAAGAAAGAAAAAGAGGAAGGACGCCCTTAGGGAGAAGGGCGCTAGCTGAGCACAGCGGGGCGGGGCGTCCCAAGATCAGGAACCTGGAAGGGACTCGGGGGTCCCCCGGATCCCGCCTGGGGCAGGCGGCCGGCCAACCGTCTCCTGCGCACAGTCGCCGAGCCGGGACCCAGGTCGCCGGTCGTCCAGGACTCTCGAAGGGGCGTCTGTTGGCCCGCCGGCCGCCGGGACTGCGGGGTCCTCGGTTCGCTCCCCGCTTTCGAGGTCTCCAAGCTTCTCGGGGTTATTCTTGGGGTAACTGGAGGCACCCATACGTGCAAGTCGCGTCTGCCTCGTGTCTCACTCTATGTTGCTCTATAGAAAAGTGCCGCCCTCAGCTTCACGCACGACTTCTTCACAGTTCTCCCCTCTTTTCTTATCCATTGTCTTAACGCATTGTCTTCTCCTGCAAATCCCATCTTCGTCGGAGCTAAGGGAGCCCCTGGGTGCCCGGGGTCCCCTCCCTCCTCTAAGGACTCCGGGATGCACGCTGTGGGCCAGGCCGAAGGTGGGAAGGACTCCTGCTGGAGGCGAGGAGGCGACCGCTCCCTCAGGCCCCACAGCAAAAGCCAAGTGGCCACTCGCCATCACCGCCCGGGTGACCGATTCCCACATCACCCCGGGCGGTTCGGTGGGCTCGGTGCTGGCTTTGCGCCTGGAAGGAAACATCTCCAGGCTGGTTGTCGTCCTTTCCTGACCGTCTCTATCAACACAGGGCGATGCCTGTCATCCTCCCCGAGGTCACTGGTGTCTGTCCCCCCACCCCGCGGTCATTTCAGACCCAAGCACAAACGCATCCCAAACTTGGCACCTCCAAGCTCCGGCTGCGCAGACTGGAGCCCTAGAACCCAGATGCCCACCGGCCGCTGGCTCGGTGTGCTGTGGAGTTAACTTTATCACCCGTTCTTAACCCGATTTTGACTTCTGAAACTTTTCTTGTTACGTTGAACCGTCCATCTTTCACAGATCTGCGTTTCTACCTTCATAGATTGTTTAAAAAAATCTCTTTCCCAAGCAAGAAAACGGGTTTCTTTCTTTTTACTTTTTCTTTCTTTTTCCCCCCTTCTGTTTGAAAAGTTGCATTACAATACGGGCTGCAGATTTCTTGAGGCGGAAAGAGAAAGCTCAGTGGCTGGCTCACAGTGCCGACCAACCGGTTAGGTTCAGGAGAATCCTTCCCTGTTTTTGTGAAAGGCCGAAATTTAAAATGAAACAGCCCGTGTGATGACTTCGAGATATTCCCCCAAACTCAGAATAAAAACCTCGGCGGGCTGAAAGGCCTGCTGAGACATCACTCTAACTTCTGTTACTGAGATGGGTCTTCTTGTTAAGACTGTAAGATTTTGAAATTAAACAATTCATCACGGTGTAGACTTTTCTGGCTTGTCAATAGCTGATGCCCCGTGTGTGGTCATGTTTGTTTGCCTTCTCTTGGATGTTCTTAACCAATCTTCTGTGCTTCCCTCTGTACAGAACGGTTTGCTGGTTGTTCACGAGGTCTATTAATTTAGTCAGGAGTTTTGTAAAAGCTAAATTTCCTAAAGTCATTTAGAAAAGGATGTTTTGTGGACTTTAAATACAAGAGGGACGCTTAAAATAACTGGCTGCCTCTCCTCTCAAGGGTGACTTCCTTCTAAAATAGAAGTTGTAGGTTGCATTTTTGATTGATCTAGACACTCTTGAATCTAGTCATTGAATGTAACTGATTAGCTGCTGAGGCCTACTTTTTCTTTAAAATCATTGCAAAATATTTATTAAACTCTTAAGAGAAATGTGGGTTTCTTGTCAGGAGGCAGGTACTGATCAATGTTCAATGTAAAACAAAATCGTCACATGAATACATATCATTTCTAACACTTAATGTATTAAGTGTTGCTGACTAGTACAAAAGAAAATGTGTTTATTTTTGATAGATTTGCCATGTAAAAGGAAGAGCATAAGCCCTGTCCCAGAATTAAGTGAAGTAGAATTTTGAATAGAGCTTTTACATTTTATTCAAAATCCATTTGGACAACTAGGTGATATAAATTGCCATCAGAAAATTTTTTGAGCAAGATAATTCTTAGGAATGCAAAAACATGAATTCATAAATGTCCATCCAGCATATGACAGTCAATTTCTAAAACACACTCTTTACAAAGGGATGTGGTTTTTATTTTTAACATTGTCTATAGGTCTATATGTCATTTAAAAGCTTCCTATTGCAATGTATTACCTACCTGGAAGACATTTCTTTACAGTTGCCTGCTTTGTTGTGTTGTGAGTCATAACAGCTTTGACCCATTGGCATATACAATACTAAGTGTATCTTAAATGGTCCTTACTTAATCCTGTATACTTCAAATTTCAAGTAGCTACACTCCTTACCCCTTGAAGTACATTTCCTTAAATGCTAGATATGCTCATGGATCATCACGAAGAATACATTCAGGTATTTTATGTACCAAAATACTGAAAACTAATATAGCTTTATTCTCTGGCAGCCTCTCCCAGCCCACCTCTTTTTTTTTTTTTAAATTAAATCTCCTGATTGTATCTGCTCCACAACAAATACTAACAAACAGTTTAAATGAATTGAGGTATTCTCATCTCCCTTCCTAAAGATCCACGCTGATTCTTAAATGTTTCATGAGAAATTGATATCATTCAAGGATGTTAACAGTTTTACAACTAAAACTATGCAAACACTTGCATTCATTTATCAAATATATATAATTTATTGAGGTTCAGTGGCATCTGAACAATGAGTATCTTCAGAATATGTTCTGTTATACAGGAAACTGGTTACAGCTGGAGTGGTGAAGAGAGGGGAGGCATCGAAGTGATCTTATAGTGTTTGGATCTCTCTGTTTGTTTGAAAGTAATTTGTGTTTGTTTTCAACTAAAATTGCTGGTATGTTTAATCCAGTGCTTCAGCAACAGTTAGGTAATTATAAAGATCTAAAAAGTTCTTTTTTTTTTTTAAGCAAAAGATTATCAGTCAGCCAAAATATTAGGTTTTCATGTAATTTAAAAAAGAAAAAAGAATAGTCCATAAGCTATTGATCTTAAGTGATGTGACTGAAAAGTTTACAGAAGATTACAGAAAAATGTCCTGGTCATGTTGCTGAATGGCGACGTGTTTAGACAATAAATGCAGGGTCTGTAAAAGCCAGGGAACTTTCATAGTAGTTTCCAGACAACACTTTCATATGTTGTTCTAAATTCTCTTCACTGTAGCACAAACCTTCTGAACTGTCTTCTTTCTGAGCACATAGAATAGCTGACGCTGTGTGTTATGAATAAGAAGAAATTATTGGATTCTTGTTTGGTAACAAGAATCCAAACACAACACAGCACAGTTTCATAAATCAATTGTGTGCTCTGTCAGAAGATGTGAAGCATAGTTAGTTCACTTGACTCAGCACAGCAGAAGTTCTGCTTCTTCACGGAGTAGGCCGTGAGCTGTTTTCAGATGCTGTGTCCTAAAATGCTAGCCTCTAGAAATAAGGAATGAATGTAGTATTACTCTGCACAGAGCTTAGACAGGAACCCTCCAATTGTTTTCTTACTTTCATAATTGATTCTCTAATGAGGAATTAATAATTACCTATTTTTTAACTAAACAACCTGGTTAAACACACACACAGTTACAAAAGTCATACATTATCTTTATGAATGATATGATATAAAATGAACTCTTTGAAATGGCATCTCGAAATTGTTATTATAATTCTTAATTTAGAATACTGAGCACCGAGTACTGTAGTTTTATCATACCTTATTCTATTACAGTCCTTACAGAAATACAGAAAATATGGAAATGAAACAAATATATGGATATTTTAAAACCTTTTTTTTTTCTTGTTAGATAAAACAAAAGAGAATTCTAGAAGCCTAAAGTGGGTGCAGAATTCCCTGTTTTCCTCACAGCTGGAACAGGTAAATCCAAGGGCAGTTGCCTTCAATAATTTTGTAATTCAAAAGTGTGAACCTAGGTAAAATTCGTACGTTCAGGAGAAAGCTCATGTTCTGTTATCGTTTATATCTTTGAATTTTACAGCAAATGTTGGTGGAAAGGGGGTAGAACATTTGCAGTCAAAGAGTGATTAACCTGAGTGAGAGAGGAGAGCGGGAAGAGATGGGAGGGGACAGAGAAGGGACCAGATTGTTGAGCAAGAGAGGCAATTGATTTTGCTTACCGTTTGCCTGATCAAAATCAACTCACTAGATAATGCCTCATTAAAAATTAACACTTAAATTACCTCTAATCAGCCCATTTGGTGCATTTTCTTTTTTTTCTGGGCAATAAAGTTGTTAGCACACGTTATAATGGAAAAAAATGAATTAATTAAAGATTTCAGGTGCAAACTTTAATGTAAAATAGATCATTAAATAAAAAGTGAAATATTGGTTTGGCTGAGTATTTGGCAACCAGATAACTTATTTGTCTGCAGAAATCAAATTAACCATATTAATGCTGAATTTCAATTTTATGCAAATGATATGAATAAATATCACAGCCAAATACCACCTCTTAAATCATTTTAGAGTCAATTCCAATGTTTTCCCATTGGTTTTACTATTAACAGACTTGCACGTTGTATGGAATTGTAACATTCTTTAGTTCAAAATCAACTGTTCAGATCGTCGAATGATTGTGTAATAGTTGAGTTCTTGAGACAAAACCACCAGACTCAGATGTTTTCTTCTCTAGTGAGCTTGCTTCAACCCATTCAAGATCCTATCCTAAAAGCAATCTTTATCATTTTCAGGCTAATTCCAAACAAATGAAGATTAATGGACCATCAGTAATTACATTTATGTTCACACATTTAAGTGAAAAATGAATTGTTGGTCAGAAAGCTAACATCTTAAGTGTGCGACTTACATGTGTCTCTCCTTTTTAGATACTGAATAAATATCGACTAATTGTTGAATTAGCCACCCTCATAAAAAGGCTCTAGTTAATTTATCATTCACTATTGATCGATTTTCTTTGCAACCCAATGAGTTATCTGTAATCCAAGCTGTTAATTTTCAGACTACCTGGAGCCCTTTTCTCAACGGCGCATCAATTCACAAGGTGTAGACATCTTGCTGATTTTGGAAGCTGGTTTGTGCTGATTTACAAGGGGATGATTTAGCTTGTACCCTGGGCCCTGATGAAGTGGAGGGCTTCCTCGATATATTCAGGCATTCAGAGATTCGGAACTGTTCTTTGCTGGCTATCTGCTTCCCGGTTTTATTTTTTATTTTAACAGCCTATGAGCAGTCTGCACCTCCATTTGAGGGGAATCTGGTTTCGTCTTCTGAGGTGGCAGATTTACCTTTTCCCTTCCACATTTCTGACTTAAACTGCACAAATAAACAGATGTCGGTCTGCTTTAGCCATTCGCAGTCTACTATTGTACACGAGGCTAACCCAGTGCCGCTCCTCCCGGCGGCCTGACCACAGCCTAACTACATGACCTTTGTCGAGGACAGGGACCCGTTGGCTGTTTGGGCAGCAGAGCGCGCATGCCTGAGTTGCTAGTGCAGGTTTCTAACAGCGCAGACCAGCAGAGAAACACTATTGCAGTTCTCTGCAGTCATACCCCCCCCCACACACCCCCACACCCCTGCTTCTGTCCCCCCAGGTTAATTAAATCAGTGAGGAACATCTTTCCAGTTTATTGGTCACCAAAGACTATGTTCAACCAGGTTCTTCTGAGAACTTGGCTAATCAGTCCACCTTTAGTTGAAAGGAAATGGAAAAGCTCAGGCTGTAATATCTCGAGGTAGTGGGCCACCCCAGCAATGGCTGCCTAGTTGTCTTGAAAACAGACCTCCAGGTGGTGGAATTCACATAATAGGAAGCCTAGAGCAAGATCCCAGCATCCTTGGCCTTGTCTTGGTCTTAGTGTGTATAAATTGCAGGGAACACTGTGATTCTGTCTACATTGGCAGTAGATTCTGTACTCCAGAGCTGTTGTCCGGACCTGTGATAGCTTTTGCTGAATCGCAGGGTATCTTTGAAGCATGCCAACAATCCAACCAGGGGGACCTGGTGCTAGGTTTCATTTGTATAGACTACATAATAAAGGTTGGCGTTTTAATTGATTGTGTTTCTACAGCACAGACCTCAGTTTTTGGCTGATACATATCTACTTCTCCAAAGAGTTCTGTCGTAAATACTACATATACATGGGTAGCAGGGCCGAATCCTTCCTTGGCGGTTTGGTTTGGCCCTCCTCTTACCCAGATGCCCCCAGCTGTACTCAACTCGGTGGAGTATACAGTGAGGCTTACAGTTACAGTTGTCTTTTAAGTCTGCTTTTCTAAAATGTATCTTACTTCTCCTGTCAGATTTATGAGGAGAATATTATCAATCTTATTTTCCTGAGTGTGTGTTCTAAGCTTCTAAGGATGCACATTAGCCAGCCTCTATATGTAAAGTACCCCTTGCATAAACCTCTAGGAGGCTGATACATGATGCAATTAATATGACATTTTACAGAGGGAAGGAGTGCTTAGGGCAGCAAACCATTGAGGCTGTGGTGAATGTGTGTGTGCGTATACACACACACACACACACACACACACACACACACACACAAATAAATAAAATTAATGAATTTAAGAATGTAATAATTAAAAAAAATTAAAAAGATCAAGAGATTTGAGCCATAACAGGCAAATGGGAAATGGCAGGGCATGAGCTTGGGGACAGATGCAGTGGCCAAACAATGCTTGGAGTCCTAGACCACAGTAACGCACATGCATTTTAGTCTAAATGTAAAGGAAACCTTTGAAAGGGTCAGGAAGTATTGCCACAATTCACTTTCTGGCAAAACTGGCTATCCCAATTACATGTTGGGAAATGGGCAAAACTAATTTGTGTGTCTTGAGTTCCGGGCATGCAGGCGGGTTTAGGTTGTGAAATAACATCAGAATACTTATTTGCACTTCTCTGTAAATAATTTTTTCTGCTCCATTATTTGTAAAACTTTCACTGAAAATCAATTGAAATGTTTATGGCAGTTGGATATGAAACAGATTTGGGAGACAAGGTGCAGAAGGGGAATCCTGTAAGCCAATGGGGGCTTGAAGTGATATGGAAGCCATCAAGACAGAGAAACATAGAAAGACAGGGTATGTTGTGCAGCAAAATTGCCAGAAGCTGGTGACGGATGGGAAGATATGAATTTCAGAGAGGACAAGTGTGTCAGCTTCCCATTACTATAACAAAATACCTGAAACTATTTGAAAAGAGTTAGTTTGGGTTTCAGAATATACTCACGTGGTCTTGATTCCTTTGTGCTGGTGGCCAGGCAGGACTTCCTGGCAGCAGTGGGTGGAAGAAGAAGATGCTGGCAGCCTTACTGTGGGCATCTCCTACTCTGGAGGGCATGCCCCCCTCAAGACCGAAGACTTTCCAGCAGGCCCCGCCTCTTAACTACAGCCATCTTCCCAAAGCACAGTGAGCTGGGCACCGAGCAGGAAGTTCCAAGTCATAGCAAAGATTTCCAGGTTTCTGACGAGCATCTCGCAAAGGTGACACCGCCTACTGATTTGTAGGCAAAAGGGTTCTGTTTAGGAAACTCGGGCTTAGTTAGATGCCCAAGATGTTCAAGGACCTGCTAATGATGGATAAATGGCTGCTCAGAGGACAGGCCCGTGAATGAGGCCTCAGCGATGTCGTCGGCCTACTGGTCACCACAGAGTTGAAAATGTTGAGGGTCACTTGGGAAAAGAGGGTGGAGGGGCAAGAAAGAGATGGGGAGAAGCTTGTCTTAAGAAAGGTAAGATAAACAGCAGCTGGAGGGATGGCTCAGCAGTTAAGAGCACTGACTGTTTGCTCTTCCAGCACCCATGTGGTGGCTCACAACTGACTGGAACTCCAATTCCAAAGGATCCAGTGCTGTCTTCTGGCCTCCTTTGGCACCAGGCACATATGTGGTATGCAGGCAAAACATCTATACATATGAAAAAAAATTTTTTTAAAGTGTGCATGGGCTTCCTATAGCCCATGTGTGCAGGTCAGAGGACAACTTTCAGGAGTCCGTTTTTCCTTCCACCACGGGGGTGCAGGGAAGCAAACCTAGGTTGTCACTGTTATTCACTGATCGCTCGTGTTTGTACTCTTTCAGTCCGCTGGGGGAATTCAGTATGTGGGAGCCTTGACTGGCAGGCTGCACAGGGTGCTTCCTCTGTCCCAGTGTTGCTTTAGCGGGATGAGCTGCTTCCCACCTCAGGGCCTCACAGTGTCAGTACCGCAGGGAAAGTTTCCCTCTTTCCCTGACCATGACCGTGTACTCCCCCACCTCCTGCGGAGGACCAAGGACAAACACCGCTCCTGGAGGCTGCTGTCAATCAGGGATGGCTCAGGCCCTCGTGAACTTGGCAAACAAAAAAGACAGCATGGGTGCTTTGTTTTCTTCTTGGCTTTAGCAGCTGGGCCCACATATAGTTTTGGGAGGGATTCCAACGTGTTCGATTTGGTTTAGAAGGAAACTGGAGGAATTGGAAAAGTACTGCACCAAGGTAGACCGTGTAGGTGCTTATGCAGGGGTCTCCCAGGAGGCAAGGAGAAGCTGAGAAGAGGCAGGCAAGGATGCTTGCTTGCCTGTGGGCTGCACCTACCTCTGGCTGCAGATTCACTGGTGGGGGAGGGGAGGGGACACCTTTTGTTTTAAATGCAAATACAAAATCTTGTAGAGCCAAGCAGCCTTTAATCCCAGCACTCCAGAGGCAGAGCCAGGCGGATCTCTGTGAGTTCGAAGCCAGCCTGGTCTACAGAATGAGATCCAGGACTGGCACCAAAACTACACGGAGGAACCCTGTCTTGAGAAACCAACCAACCAACCAAACAAACAAACAAAAATCCTGTGAAGAACTGCTTTATTTGATAGGGAGGGCTGGGTACCAGGCAGGCAGAGATCTGTGTGAGAGAGAAGTCACCTTTTGTGTGTTTAGCTGTTTTCCTCAGTACCCAGGTGACAAGTTTCTGGCATTGACCATTTTTTTTTTTATACATAAGTTGAGACCTTCTCCATGCTGAATAAAGCGTGTATAGTTGAAACCCTCCCCACGCTGGATACAGTGAGTGTATCTCAACGTGTGTGACTAAACCTGGATGTCTTGGGATTCTATTTTACCACACTTCCAGGAGCTTCCTCACACCGTGATCAAATAGTTTCATGTTATAAGGGACATCTGTTCAGCACTGCAGCAGACCCACTGAGGAAGGAGACTGGAGAGGGGGAGGAGGAGGGGAGGGAGGCTCTGGAACACTGGCAAAGGGCAGCACAGGTCCTTGAGGAACAAGGCGATCTTCTGGAATGCCAGTGTTCCCAGCCTCCTGGAGCACTGCTGAGCACAAGCTCAGCTGCCCTCCCCCTCCATAACACAGACCTAGGTCCATGGAGGAGGTAAACAAAGCCTGCTCCAGGAATCAAGGCCCCAGGGAGCCTCCTGGTCTGCCTCCCTAGCCACTACACCAGCTTGTCATTGTTGTTGTTGTTTGAATACATGGGTTCTGGGGATTGATCTTAGGTCTCCATGGTTTCAAGGAAAGCACTTTAATAACTGGGCTGTCTCCCCGCATCTCTGGAGAGTGTAGGGGGTAGCTGGAATTTTTTTTTTTCGTGTGTGTGTGTGTGTGTGTGTGTGTGTGTGTGTGTGTGCCACACTGCATCTCTGTGGAGGTCAGAGGACAACTTTGTAGAGTTGTTTCCTCCCACCTTTACAATGTTGTACCCGTTTCTCGAAACCCCCAGAGACCACCAAGGAGCCGGTTTCCGATGCAAGCACATAAGGGTCCTTTTATTCAGGTTTAACCTGGGCCACCGCACAGCAGATGGAAGGAAACGTGGCCATGGCCATGAGCCCAGGTGTAGAGGGTTTTTATAGGTAAAAACCACAAACCTGGAATTGGCAACTTGGGATTGGGTAGAAGGGGCAAGGTGATTTTTTGAAAATATTGGTCTAGAC